CGACCGCCGGCCGGGCGTGAGTTGTTAAGCCCCCGGGTCCGGGACACGAACCGCGGTTGACTATGTGGGAGTCCAGTGACATAGCCATTACGCTAACTGCTGGTTCCCATGGTCCCAAATATTTTTAAGAACACACACACACACACACACACACATACAAATAAATAAATAAAGGAAAAGTTCTCTGTACTTCCAAAGCGAAGGAACTTTTGTGTGTCAGGAGGCAGACTTGAGGAGATGTGCATAGATGAGGGCTCCCGGGAAAAGAAGGGGTCAAGGGAAGAAGGAGTGGCTGGGGTTAAGGGGGCAGGAGAGAGTGGAGGAGGCTCGTCCTTAATGTGTGCCAGCTGGCTCTCACGGGTGTCTCGGACAGGAGGCTTGCTCTCCCGCTCTGTGGCATGGACCAGAAAGAAGGCCTCGACGGCAGGCTGTAGTACTGATGGTAGGAATGATAGGAAATAACCTTTTACTTTACACATTTCAACATACAAACCTCTTTGCTTTTATAAACAACAAAAGTACAACATGAGAGAGGAAATAAATAACACCTGCACAGGGCCGTGAGAAGCTGGCTGGCTGGGAGGCAGAGAGCAGTGTGAAAAGACCCTGTAAAGGGTACACCCTTCCCCCCAATGAGAGAAACTTTAAAAAAAAAAAAAGGCAACTGAAAGAGAGGGCAAATCTTTTTTTATGATACCAAGGGCAAAGAAAAAAACCGATCCTTTGAATTCTCATTACAGATATTGAGAAAGAGTCCTAACCTGGAAGGAAGGAAATTAAGCCAGCAGACAGGGCCTCCAATCACAACTCACCTAGCACCGCATGCTGGTCATGGGATTCTTCCAGTTCTTTTAAACACTCCCCCAGCATGTCCCACAGCTCGTCTAGGCTCAGCTGCTCACTAAGCAGAGGTAACTCAGGTGGTCTCTCTTCTTTCTCCTTTTCCCCCTGCAGGGTTCCATCTGAGGCTACAGGGCACATAGGAGATAGTCAGAGGGTCTTTGAGCTTTCTCCTCCCCTTAAATTTTCCTCAGACCAAACACATAGGCAGTTACTGGACAGATCAAGTAGTCTACCTTGTTGATCACTGAGTATTACTCAACTGGGCAACATCTAAAAGTGTGGTCAAGCACTGGATGGTGTTTAAACTTAAGTAAAAGTAACACAATAACTAATTTTACCCCTCAGTTGCATTACTCATATTTCAAGTGTTCAATAGCTGCATGTGGCCAGTGGCTCCCCTAGAAAGGCCTAGAGGACAGTGCTGCTACAGCCA